CGCTGCATCTTCCTGGCCCACCTGCATCCCTTCTTCCCAGCCTGCATCCCCCTGGCCCACCTGCATCCTTCCCACCGGCCCGGCTGCCTCCTCCCCTCCCCAGTCCTGCTTCCAAGGGGATGAGGCTCCCCCTGGAGCGTGCTGAGCCCCCATGGGGGTGAATTTCCAGTTCAGGAGGAGGTTGGTGGGCTGGGATGGGCAGGGAGCGGGCAGGGATTCCCTGGGCTGAGTGGGATCCCTGCAGCTGGCACAGAGTGAGGAGAAGCGAGTCCATGACCCTGGGGAGACGCCAGCGGGGCCGTGCTGGTGCTGTGGGGGCGGCTGACGCAGAGCTGGGGCTGTGGGCGGGGGGATTTCAGATCCTGATCCCACTCGGGCCTTTCCGCTGGTCCTGGAGCCCCTCAGTGGGGCAGCTGTTGGCTCTGGACTGTGTCTGGAACTCCCTGTCCTGCTGCTTGGCTCCCAAACTTCCTGAGCGCTGTGGGAACGATTGGGGCATCACCGCATCACTGCTGTGCCACTCGTGGGGAGACCCCAGGTTTGGGGTGCAGCTCCCTGCTCTGCATCCCAGTTTGTGCTCATTCCCGCTCCCATCCTGCTGTCACCTCCCCTTGATCCAAGCCCTGTCTCATCCCAGCTCTCTGTGTGAGAGGCTGGGAGCTGTTGGTCCTGGAGCAACCTCGGGACTGGGTTGAGAGGGATAACAGTGGTTTTGGGGTGTGCTGGAAACTTTTTGGGATGCAGGCAGGCTCCAAATCTCCAGGAGAACCTACCAGGACTCCAGGACTTCACCCCACATGGAGTGACGGCCTCACTGAGGAATCCTCACTGAGGATTCCCTGTCTGTGGACGTGGAGGGGAGCAGAGGAACGTGGTGGAGCCATCCTGGTGGGATGCTCCTTCCCAGCATCCCAGTGCCACTGGGGCAGCCCAGCTGGGGCTGGGTGAAGGTCTGGAGGCAGTCAGGGGGGTGTTATCCTACAAATGCTCCCAGGGAAGCACCTCTCCAGCCCCTATGGATCGCTCAGTGCCAGCCACAGGGAGCCCTGGCATTGCCATCCCTAAAACACCCTCAAACCAGGAGCTTGGGATGTTCCAAGGACATCCCTGCTGACACTCTGTGGTTGTTTTTCCACCTCAAACCCAGGGTGATTCCCACAAGGGGAGTGAATCCAGGGCTAGATTCCCGGTGCCAGCCCTGGGCTGGCTCCTGGTGTCGTCCAGGGCTGCCACCGGCGTCAGCGGGAGCAGAGCTTGGCCCTGAGTCCCCAAGTCCTTGAGTCCCCGTGTCCCTGAGTCCCTGCTGCCATCACCACGTCCCAAGGACGTGACACAGACTCCGAGGCCTCAGTCGGTGCCTCTTCCCTTCCCATCTGGTGGCAGCAGAGCCGGGCCAGGCAGTGCCATGGCAAAGGGAGCGCTGATCTGGGATGTGGCACTGGGAGGGCACTGGAGACAATGCCCAGCCTGCAATAAAACAGCAGGATCCGTGGTTTTTTGGTTAATCTTCATAGGTTAAACCTTGATTTTGCTGCATTAGTAGAAGTTTTCCCCTTTTTTTTTTGTTTTAAGCCTCATTAAGGTAGATGTGAGCTGCCATCCCCCTGCATCCCACCGTGCAGAGTTTTTGGGATGGGTACCACGGCTGCAGCCTGGTGCCAGTGGCAATCCTTGGAGCTGGGAAGATTTTTGGGTCTTGCTTATGCCTTGGGACAGGTTTCAGTGGGAACCAAGGCAGCAGCTGGGATAAAACACCTGGAGTGGGAATCAAGACTGGTTTGCTTCCTATGGGGCTGCATCCAGAAGGAGCTGAGTGTTCATCCCTCAGCCCTGCCCGGGTGTGGGGTTTTATCCCTGTCCAAGGGTGGCAGTTGGGCTTTATGGCTCTAAATTTGGGGTTGGGGTGTAAATATGGATAGGGGGTGCTGCGTTTGGTGGAGTTTGGGAACAGCAGAGGGAAAATTTGCTCGGAGCTGGGTGATATTCCCAACTGTCCCACAGCACCATTGTGTCTGTGGGGTTAAACCCCGTCCCAATGTCAAAATGTGGGTCCCAGGAAGCGTTGGCGGCTCCAGGGATAACCCCAGGATCAGAACTTCCCTCTGCCCGCGCTGCCGTGCTCCTGGCAGGAACAGGGAACTTTCCCTGGATACTTTTGGCTGCTGTGTGGTGAGGATGGGAAGAGGCGCTGAGGAAAAAGCTGTGGCCATTCCCAACCCTCCACAGGCTGTGGAGATGCTGTTCCAGCACTGGGATTTACCCAGGGAAGCTGGGGCTGCCCCTGGATCCCTGGAAGTGGCCAAGGCCAGGTTGGACGGGGCTCAGAGTAGCCTGGGATTGTGTCCCTGCCCATGGGCTGGAACTGGGTGAGCTTTAAGCTCTTTCCAACCCAAACCATTCCACGATTTTATGATTTTCACTGCCTGAACACGTGGATTCCGTGGTGTCTCATCCCACGGGTGAGCACAGTGCTCTTCTCCCAGAGCTGGATCCTCCCAGGATGCTGGATGGAGACATTTCGGCTCCTGTATTCCCAGCAAAACCCCCAGGGACCATTAGGCATCTCCCAAAATAAGGGATGCACAGAGCCAGAGACATCTCACAAGTTCATCAGGACCTTGGGAGAGCCTTGAGAGGGAAAATAGAACCGTGGCAAGGAATTCCCCATTCCCAGGCTGCTCCAGGTGCCTCTGGAATAACAAACCCCTTGGTGGGAGCCGAGGGAGAGCAGCTCCTGTCGCATTTCTTGGCATGGAAAAGGATATTTAGGGCTGCAGGAAAAGCTCTCACTTCATGGCATGAGGGCATCCCACATGGATGTGCTGATCCAGCTGGGATGGGATGGGATGGGATGGGATGGGATGGGATGGGCATTCCCACGGCTCACCGGGTGCCAGATGAATGAGTTTCCCCCTCCTGGATTTTCCGCCGCCAGTCCCGGTCTCCAGGCAGGGCTGACGTCAAGGATCCCATTCCAGGGGGGAACAGCCGCCCTCCCGCTCCTTGGAGACCGGCTCGGAGCCTGCCGGGGCTGGGGGGAGCAGCCGCTCGCGGCCCTGCTGGGTTTGGGATTCCCACGGGGAATTCCTGCTCGGGGTAATGGGAAGGGCCGGGATTGGGAAATGCAGCCCCGGGTGATCCCAGCCCCTCGCTGGGGTCAGCAGAGCTGCTGTGCAGTGACGGGGAGTGGGGACATCGCTCCTGTGCCCCCGGGGGGGCAGGGACGCTGTTTTGCATGGAGCTGGGGGGTTCCAGGAGCCTCCAAAGGGAAGGGAATCCTCCCGGTTTCGCTCCATACCGGAGCACCGCTCCTGCCTTTCCCCCGGGCAGAGCTGGAGCCGGGAGAGGCGCTGGAAAGGTGGGAAAACAGCCCCAGCTCCGCAGGAAAAAGTTTCCCTCCCCTCCAGCAGCATCCCCAGCAGCAAATCCCAACAGCGGGAAGAGGGGGGATCCGCGGGATTCCCACCCCTCTCCTTGTGCCCCCTGCCCCGTTCCAGGTGGGGAAACTGAGGCACGGAGGAGCAGGGGGAGGCTGTGCCAAGGCAGGATCTCGGCATTTCCCACATTTCCTCATCCCGGGATGAGCGGGAGGCTCCGCGGGATGGGGCTCTCCCTGCGGGACGGGGCCGCCTCCGTTCCTCCCCTTTCCAGCCCCACCAAAACACTTTTGGACTTTACAGAGCGGGTTTTTGGGCTACTTTTCCCTGGCTGGAGCAAATCCATGGACCAGAACACCTGGGGGTCCCAGCGGGGTCCTCTTTGGGGTTAAAAATGACCCCTCCTGTCACTCTAGGGCTCTGTGGGGTTGAGTTTTTCCCACCTGGAAATTAAATTTCCTCCGTTTTCCCCACTCTTTCCCCATTCCCAGCTCACCTCTGCATGATGGTGGTGGGGGCTGCCCTGTCCCCAGCTCCGTTCCCACCCCAGGACCCTGATTTTGGTGCTGGTGATGCCGTGATGGCTCAGAAATCACCTTTATTCCCTTTGGGATCCCGCCTGGAGAGGCAGGATGTAGAGCAGGCTGGGGGCAGGATGTGGATTTTTTAGGATTTTTTTTCCCCTGGTGTTTTGCTGCAGTCGTGTCCATGCAAGGGCATTTTCTGGGAGACGGAGCTGCCTCTGGGGGTGCTCAAGATGCCTGGGGCTGTTTCAGCTCCAAAAGCCTGGAGCGTGTTTGGGATGCGAGATCCAGGCTGATCCTTAAACCTTTGATTATTTTGGGAGCGTTTTTCCTTCAAACCCAGCCCTGGAAGTGGGGCAGGGCTGAGGGCTCCCTGCAGCCCCCCAGGTCCCGCCCCATTTTCGGGGGTTAATTTTCAGGAATTCATCTCCGCTAGCCAGGCCGAGGATGGGGAGAAGCTGCCAGGAGGTGCCAACCCCGTCCCCAGCTCCCGGCAGGGCCGTCACCCACCTGATTTTGAGGGGTGATTTTGGGGGTGATGCCAACCCCTGTGGGTGTCAGCAGTGAGCACCGCGAGGGAAAGGAGCAGGAGAGGTGGGGAAAATCCCAAATCTCACAGCGGGGTTCTCCCCTCACCTCTGTATCCCAAACCATCCCGTATTTTACCCGTCTATTTTTGGGGTGTGCAGGAGCAGAGGCACAGCACCATCTAGTGCTGCCGGCGCCGGGGAATCACCCAGCTGGAAAAGCAGGAGCAGGAAATCCCAGCAGCTTCCCAGCCCTGCTCTATATTCCCGGGAAAGGAGGGCAGGCGCTCAGCAGCTTTATTTTGGGAGCTGCCGAGCTGCGCCTGGGAACGGCTTCGGCCTCGGGCTGGGAGGATTTGGGGTATTCGGGGGGTGATCCGAGCAGGGATGGGCTACAAAGGAGCAGAGAGGAGGGGATGGCTCTGCAGGGAGCAAGGAAGGAGGAAGATTTGGGTTGGTGAAGGGGGAATGAGGAGAAAATGCCACATTCCAGCCTTGGAATGTGATGCTGTGGCCGGTCCCTTTGTAGAGTTTTTTTGGGGGGTAAAAGAGGGGAGTGTGGCTTTTGAGGGATGTTTGGGGGATCCTTGGCACCAAACCTGGCTGTAAGAGAGGGGACTGTGTCCTTTAGGGGTCCCTTGGCCCTGAGGCTGGGAGTAGAAGTGGGAGAAGTGTCCTGTGGGTGGCAGGACAGCCCTGGGACAGGGCAGTGGTTGTGGGGAAAGTGGTGCCTGTCCCACCCCATCCCCCTCCCAGCCCCGGGGGCTGCCAAGGGCTGTCCACCCCCTGAACGAGACCCCAGCGCTGGGCTGGGGACAAAGGAGCTGATAAAGGGATTTTTTGGCAGGGAAATTCCCTCTTGGACACCAAACCTGGGTGCTCTTGGCTGCGGGAGCTCGGCAGGGCTGTTCTGGGGCAGAATTTGGAGCCTTGGGATGGGGCAGAGTGAGAGGCGAGCCCCAGCAGCCAGTGGGGACCCCATGAGGGTTTTGCCTTCTTTCCCAGAGCAAGCTGGTGAAGTATTTCAGCCGGCAGCTGTCCTGCAAGAGGAAGGTGGCCCTGCAGGAGCGCAATGCCAAACTGGAGGGCTTCCCCCAGCTCCTGCACTGGTTCCGCATCGTCGACATCCGAAAGGAGGTGATGGAGGTAAGGGCTGGCCGTTCCCACCGGGAAAAGGAAAGGGGTTTTTCCCAAGGGTCTGTGGATTCTTGACCCCCTCCACCAGCGAGGGCAGCCCGTTGCTGTTCCCAGTGGGTGTCACATGGGGTGGGAACACCCCCATGTCCCCATCAGCGTCCTCCTGCCACCTCCTGGGCTCCTGCAGCTGATGGGGGCAGCCAAAGGCAATCCCAGGGAAAAGGGAATTCTGTAATGGACACACGGCCCTGCGTGTTCCAAATCAGGGATGGGTCGTCCTGGTGCTCCCAGATGCTGAGCTGGGTCTGGATAGATAAACTGGAGATAAAACTTCAGTTCCTCCAGGTTTTCTTGGAGATTCTGGTGGAAAATGGATGGGTTTGGGGTCCATGAACTGAAGAAAATGGGTTCTCACTGGTGTTCCCCGAGGTTTAGAGGATGCTCCAGGGTGGTTTGTTCTTCCTCCCTCATTCCTGACCCATTCCTTCCTCAGGAAATAGCCCCTGGGCAGCTCAGCCTGGAGGATCTGCTGGACATGACCGATGAGCAGGTCTGTGCCACCGTGGAGAAGTTTGGGGCCAACAGAGAGGAGTGTGCCCGGCTGAACGCGTCCCTGTCCTGCCTCCGCAGCGTCCACAAGTCCGGTGAGTGCCCTCAATCCCCTGGGGCTGCCCGGGGAGTGTGGCAGAGCTCCTACATCCCAGGGCTGCCTGGGAACGCATTTCCTGCAGGGAACACCTTGGAGCTGCACTGGGAGCAGCCCTGGGAGGATTTTGGGGTGCTGCTGGGTGAGAGCTGGGAGCCCAAAACCCCCCTGCCCTGGGCTGAGCCCCCAGCAGGGGCAGCAGGAAGGGAGGGGGGATTCTGTCCCTCTGCCCTGCTCAGGTGAGACCCCACCTGCAGAGCTGCCCCTGGCTGTGAGGTGCCCAACATGAGAAGGGCCTGGAGCAGCTGGAGTGAGAGCAGAGGAGGAGATGCTCCAAGGGCTGGAGCCCCTCTGCTCCAAGGGCTGGAGCCAGGCTGGGAGAGCTGGGGGTGCTCACCTGGAGAGGAGAAGCTCCAGGGACACCTCAGAGCCCCTTCCAGGGCCTAAAGGGGCTCCGGGAGAGCTGGAGAGGGACTGGGGACAAGGGATGGAGGGACAGGACACAGGGAATGGCTCCCACTGCCAGAGGGCAGGGATGGATGGGATATTGGGCAGGAATTGTTCCCTGGCAGGGTGGGCAGGCCCTGGCACAGGGTGCCCAGAGCAGCTGGGGCTGCCCCTGGATCCCTGGCAGTGGACACTGCCAGGCTGGG